ACATCATGAGTTAAAGGGACCTTAATTCCTTAATTCGAGGAAGCATCACTGGATTCAGCTTCTAAAGAACTATGACCTCTATATTCTCTAACATCTAGGCAAGGCGAATATAGTAGCGGGAGCCTTGAGTCAGAAGACAGTGAGTATGGGTTGTCTAATCTTCTTATCCATCGTTAAAATATTTTTAGCTTTGGAAATTCAGTCTTTAGCTAATCATATGGTACAATTGGATGTTTTAGATTCTAGGCGTATCTTAGCGTATGTGGGAGTTTAGTCCTCTCTACTTGATCAGATCTGTAGCCAATAGCTTGAGGATGAGGCCTTGGTGGCACTTTGAGATTGATTCTTAACAAGTGACACCAGTCAGGTTACCTTAGATTCAGGTAGAATTTGAGGTTTGTAGGCCTTATTTGTGTCTTGAGAGTTGGAGGTTTCATTCAGTTGATACTTTGTGAAGCTTACGATTCTAGTTACTATGTCTATCCGAGCACCACGAATATGCATCATGATGGAGACAATATTACTTGTGGAGTGGTATAAGGAGATATATTGCTGAGTATATATTCAGTTACCTTAGCTACCAGCAGGTTAAGGCCGAGCACTTAAATCCCGATGTTGAGTTTTAGATATTTCCCATTCCAGAGTGGAAGTGGGATCACATCATTATGGAATTTGTGGCAGGACTTCCCCATACTTCTAGAGATGTTGACAACAGTTGGGTCATCATTGAACAATTGACAAAATCAACACACTTCTTCTTTGTCTAGTATTCAATCAGTGCCGAGAGGTTAGCCCGTATCGACATGCATGAGGTGGTACATCTTCATGGTGTGCGGGTCTCTATTATATTAGTTCGGGGTGCTCAATTTACTTCTAGCTTCTAGAGGACTTTTCAGAATGAGTTGGGTAATCGTGACCCTCCTTCTAGCTACGCGATGAAGACAAACACAATCTGCTGTCTTTCTGAGGATTGAAAAGGTGTTTTCTTGGTCATTTCTTGGCAGAATTGAGTGATTAAAATCCTACACATATGCAATCATCGAGACTTCACTGTGGTGTGACCGGGGCATGTTGGTGGACCTTAATTTGAGGTGAATTCTTATTTCAAGCTGCTGCCCCTCCCTTTATTTGTGAATTGTTGCATGATTGTTGTTGGTTGTTAGTGAGCCCTGAACCTTGTTCAATTTTGGAACACAAGTTCGATGTGTGGTTTAGGACCTCTTGATGGATTACATTCGGGAAATTCTGGCGCTGGTCCCACAATTTCATATTGACTCTAAAATTGGTTTGTCTCCATTTAGAGATTTTTTAATGTCTTAACGACCGTACTTACATTGTAATCCTAGTTTTGATAGCGTGGCAGCGTTCAGAGGTCGTTTGGAAAGGAAAAGCTCCGGCCATTTGACTTGGAACATGCGTGGTCGGCCTTTTGGTAGGCTAAAACTTTATTTCCTTCTTTGATTAAGAATGAATGTGTAAATTTATGATGATTAGTGTGAAATGGGGGTGGGTACGTAGTTATTTCTTTTTCTATTTTAGAGACCATATTTTAGTATTGTAGTAGCATGATAATTGGGGGTTATTTGTGTGCTGCAACATGCTTTGTCATTTACTTGTATAATCATGTGTGTTATGTAGCATGTTCAACCGTAGTCTAGGATAGGCTAGTGATGCCTTAGACTCTTCCCCCTTGCAGTTTATCATGTTTCCGAAAGACTATGTCCTTGTAGACTTGAAGTGCAGATTTGATTATGGTAGTATGAGCCTTAGTTAGGCATTTGTGTAGCTTGTTATACCTTCTATTCTCTCTCCCCATCTATGTGTCTCTGATGCATTACCGCAGATTTGTGATATCGTGAGGATTGGAGAGTGAATCGTACAAGGCTGGGAGCCTTTTGTTGATACCTTTGGATGTACGACACTCCATGATGACTTGGTATTGATATTGGAATCCGCTTCATAGTTAACATGCCCTTTTTTCACTCTTGCTAGCTGGGCTGGGAGTTTGCTTGACAGTACGATTATTTCTAGTTCGAGGACAATGTGCTACGGTTCGAGGTCATTATCCCTGGTTCAAGGTCATTATCCCCAGTCTGAGGATGATATTCTACGGTTCGAGAAAGTTATTTACAGCGTGAGACTATTGTTCTATGGTTTGCTCCATTACTTCTTTGTGAAACTATTACTTCGGGTTTAAGGCCTGGTTGAATCTTATTGGACTTGGGATTAGATGTATTTTAATTATAGTCTTAGATATTTTGTGTACCTGTTGGGCATATAGGGGTCCGTTCAGGTTTTTATTTAAACTTGCGCATGAGTGTACCTTATGGTCTTATGGGGTCAAGTTAGGTTTAGCTTAGTTGTACTTAGATTTACTTTCTATATTCTCGTGTGCTTCATTTCTTTCCCGATGTGACCTTTATTTGTGTCGAGATTCTATCTTTTCAAATTGCTTTTACCTTTCTTGCTAGGTCGGCCTATGATGCACATGGAGTACCTTTGTTTTGGTACTTACGCTATACTATACATCTTTTTCTTGATGCATGTCCTAGTAATAGCTACCAACGATTATCGTTCATGCTGTCTTTTTAAGCTTGTGGATATCGGAGACGAGGGTGAGCACTTGGTGTCCTAGACTAGCCTGTATCCTTTGTACATATGTCAACTTTTCTTTTGCCTTCGAGACGACTTGTTGCAGTCCTGTTTTGGGACATGCATTTATTTTTGTTAGACAAATGTGTACTCGTGACTTCCAGGTTCTGGGGGGGATCTTTTGTTTATATAGTTTTTGTTTTTTCTTCTATTTCTTTCGTTTCTTATTATTAGTGTTATTTATTGTTTATTTCTATCCTTGTACCCACTACTTGTTGTTCTAGGTACGATTCGGTGATAAACGCTCAACTACACCTCATCCAATACTAGGAGTAGACGATTGTAATCTAGTATAAAACCCACCAAATGAGTTGTGGTTAAACCCATAGGGAGCAGTACAAGTTCAAATTCAGTTATGAAGTTATAAACACGATCTAATCGGTTGTAGAAATATAAATTATCAAAAACATTTAGATAAATCGAAAGGGTGATACAAATGTCAGATGGGGGGATTGGTTTGTCAATTAGCAACTATAACAATTATGAACAACATGGGGTAATCAAGTAATTAAGGGGTACTTGGGGATGTGACTGATTAATTGTCAACTTCGCTAAATGGGTGATCAATGAGTACTAAAGTTTGCTAAATCTTAGTGGGTAGGCTAGACTTTTGATGCAATAGCTTTCTCTCAAACAACTATTACGGTTCAAGCGAGTTCTCTTGAACCTCGACAAGCTTAACACTTTAAATAGCCCACTACCTCACTTTATCTACTCTTTGGAGCTAGATAGGCAGGATCGAGTATAGAATTCACTCTCTCGAGTTGAACCCACAATAACCCAATCACTACAAATGTTGATTTATAACCTTGACTTTACACCTCTCTCAAGAAAGCATAACATACTAAATTAGAACTGAAATTATCATTCCAATTCATCAATTTAACATCAGCTTAAATCAAATCCACTTGAAAACAACAATAACATCAATAATCCTTGACACCCATAAGCTAAATTAGACAATTAGTCACATAGTCACACCCACCAAAGAACAGGGGTTTTAGCTACATATCATATAAAGCAAGAAATTAATACCTATTACATTCTCCATAGTTGGGTATGAATCTCCAAGTCCTTACAATGATTTAATGTAGCTTCAATTCTAAAACCCAATTCAAAAGCTACTCAAAAAACACGGCTGCTAGAGCGGTACCACTTGCATCACACACCACCTCAAATAATTTGGACCAATCCAGGCTAATGATCACTGGAGTGGAGATTAGCTTTCCTTTAAAACATTCAAAAGCTTTTGAGCAAGAATTATCAGAAAGGAACTTCACCTTTTTCTCTACTATCTTGCACAATGGGTGTGCAATTTTTGAAAATTCTTTGATGAATTTTCGATAGAACCTTGCATGACCCGAAAAAATCTGAACACCTTTTACACAAATAGGTGGTGGCAACTTCTCAATAACCTTGATCTTTTCTTTGCCCACCTCCAATCCCTTCTGTGACACCTTGTGACCTAGGACTATGCCTTCCTTGACCATGAAATGACACTTCTCCCAATTGAGGACCAAGTTGGTTTCCACACACCCTTGAAGGACTTGCCCAAGATGAGTTAACATGTCTCAAATGAATCACGTACAACTAAGAAATCATTCATGAAGACTTCCATTGATTCTTTCACCATGTCAGCAAAAATAGAAAGCATGTATCGTTGGAGTGTCGTCACAGCATTGCACAATCCAAAGGGCATCCTCTTGAAGGCAAAAGTCCCACAAGGACATGTGGAAGTGGTTTTCTCTTAGTCTTGTGGTGCAATATAGATTTGGTTGTACCAAGAGTAGCCTTCCAAGAAACAGTACCATCCACGCTCCGCAAGTGTATCGAGCATTTGATCCATAAATGGCATAGGAAAATGATCTTTCTCGGTCCAAGAATTTAGCTTCCGATAGTCTATGCATACTCTCCAACTGGTTACCGGCCTCATAGGTACAAGTTCTCCTTTCTCATTCGGGACCACCGTGATGCCTTCTTTCTTGGGTACACATTGTACGAGACTTACCCATTTACTATCCACAATAGGGTACACCACGCCTGTGTCTAGCCGTTGAATAAACTCTTTCTTCACCACCTCTTGCATATATGGATTTAGTTTTCTTTGATGCTCAACACTTGGCTTGCATTCGCTATCTAATTGGATTTTGTGAGTGTGAATTCCGGGTGGAATACCTACAATATCAGTGTCCACCTTATTGCCTTTATGTAACGTTTCAACACCTCAAGAAGCAATTTAATTTGTCACTCAAGCAAGTTTGCTACAATGATAACGAGAAATGCATTATTCGCCCCCAAAAACGCATACCGAAGATGAAAAGGGAGCACTTTCAACTCAAGTTTGGGGGTTATTTCGTGGATGGTTTAGCGGGAGGACTCTCTCGATTCTTTAGATCAATGTCTAGCTTCAATGGGTTTCTTGGATATGCACCTAGTCTTGATAGAGAAGCTACCACTTCATCATACCCTTGAACTTCGGTCTCATCATAAATCGAAAGAACAACCTCAAGAGGTTCACCCATAAACATCATTTCACTCACACTAGCCACTGCTTCTTCAATCACATCAATCGTTGAAACTACCTGAATGTCACTAGGTTGCTTCATTGATTTGCACACATTAAAGGTAACCTCTTCTTCATTTACCCAAAAATTTAACTTAACACTTTCAACATCCACTAGAACTCTTGCAGTCGCCAAGAATAGTCTACCCAAAATAATAGGAACCTCCGCATCAATTTCATAATTTGGAATAACAAAATCAGCCGGAAAGATAAATCGATTAGCCTTTACCAATATGTCATAAAGTATCCCAATGGGGTGTTTAATAGATCGGTCCTCCATTACAAGCCACATTGTTGTGGATTTCAATTTGCCCAATCCAAGTTGTTTGAAGATTGCATATGACATCAAGTTTTTACTTGCCCCCAAATCACATAAAGCTTTGGTAAACTTAAGCATACCAATGGTACATGGGATAGTGAATGCCCCTGGATCCTTTTTCTTTGTAATCATATCGCTAGTCATAATTGCACTATATTATGAGAAACTTCAATTGTTTCGAAGTACATGCTTCTCTTCATAGTGAGCAACTCCTTCATGAATTTCGCATATCCCGGCATCTCCAACAATGCTTCCACTAAGGGAATATTTATAGAAAGTGTCTTGAACACGAGTAGGAATTTCTTGAACTTTTCATCTTCATTTCTCTTTTTGAGACGTTGAGGTAATGCATGATTTATTTTTGGAAGAGGTTGCACTAGTTTTGGAGATGATGTAGCCCTTTCTTTCACTTTTTGCAACCTTTAGGTGGGGCTTTGTTTTGGACTCTCTTCCTCATCTCTAAGCATATCCTTTTCCGGTGCTTGACCGGACCTGTCTTCCTCAACGATGTCTTTCTTTTTTTCATAAGCATTTGTCCCATCATTAACCCTCACATTACCAAGTGCTACCTTTCCACTTCGAGTCACAACCGCTAAATCCTTGTCATTATCAACCTTCAAATTGGTAACACACTCATCTTCATTCCCTTCAATTACCTTGGGTTTCAATTGTGCTTAAAGTTTGTTCATTTACCCTTCAAGCTGCTTGATTACATCCGCATGAGATTTAACCTATTATTCAATGATGAGAAGTCCGAGTTCATCTCCATTAGATCATTCTACCTAACCTAGGATGCGCGACAACAATTCATCCACTCGTAGGTTTCCCAAACTACCTTTAGATCTTGGGTTGTCGCTTGATTGAATGTGGTGCTCTTCTTCTCTCTTCCAAGGGCTATTTTGATAAGTCCAATCATTATTGTATTGTCTCCACTCTTTTTCATTATGTGAGTTCCAATCTTGATTCCCACTTGACTTTAAATAGCTCGGGTGAGAACCCTTCTCAAGTCTAGAAACTCTTTTTACATCTTTGTGTTCACCAACACTTTCTTACACATGTTTACTCAACAACTCCAATTGGTACATCATTTTGCTAATATTTTCATCCCGTCTTTTCTCCTTGGTGCTCTTTTGTCATCCTAAATTTTAAGGGAGATATTTGGTCCTCTTGAGAAGTACCATGCCCGATCGATCATTGTCATTTCATCAAGAAGGGACTAGGCTACGTCAAATGGTTGCAACATTATCCCCCCTCGAGCCAAATGGTCAGCTACCCCTTTGTTCACTGAGTCTAAACTCCAGTATAAATATTGAAGTATTACATTACCCAAAAGCCCATGAGTAGGACACTGTAGTAGCAACTTTTGAAATCTCAGCCAAGTTTCATGAATCGATTCCCTTTCTACTCGCTTGAAGTTCTGGATGTTGTCACACAATTTCACCATTTTAGAGGGTGGAAAGAATCTTATGTAAAATGCCTCAGTGAGCACTTCCTATGATGCAATGGAGTCCCTTGGTAGACCTGCCAACCACTTGGTTGCTTCACCCATCAAAGAGAAAGGGAATAATTGGAGGCGAACTGATTCTTGTGAAATATTCTTTAGTAAAAATGGACTACATATAGCTACAAATTTTCGAATGCGGTCATGGGGGTTCTCATGATCCAGCCCTTCAAATACACCCTTAGCTTGCAAGAGTTGCAACATTGTGCTAGTAACATCGAAGACAACATTCCCCATAATCGGAGGTAAGGGAATAGAACATACGCTCCCCAGTTGAGTTTCATTGGCGTGATTGAAATCACCAACATCATCTTGGTGACCAAGTTAGTTCACGGTGCTTCCAGCTGCACTCAGCTAGTAACCTAATCATAAACCGCTCACAACACAAGGTAATTCGATTCAACTACAACACAAACAAATTACAATTCAAACTTTAATAAGAGAACTCTAAACACCACTCTCCGGCAGCAACACCATTTTTTATAAACGCTCAACTACACTTCATTCAATACTAGGTGTAGACGATCGTAATCTAGTATAAAACCCAACAAATGAGTTGGGGTTGAACTCACAGAGAGTAGTGCAAGTTCGAATTCAATTATGAAGTTATAAACGCGATCTAGTCGGTTGTACGAATAGAAATTATCGAAAACATTTAGATAAATTGTAAGGGTGACACAAATGTCTGATGTTGGGATTGGTTTGTCAATTAGCAACTAAAACAATTATGAACAACAGGGACAATCAAGTAATTAATGGATACTTTGGGATGTGATCAAATAATTGTGAACTTCGCTAAATGGGTGATCAATGACTACTAAAGTTTGCAAAATCTCAGTGGGTAGGCCAGACTTTGGATGCAATAGCTTTCTCTCGTATAACTATTATAGTTCAAGCGAGTTCTCTCAAACCTCGAAAAACTTAACACTATAAACAACCCAATACCTTGCTTTATCTACTCTCTCGAGCTAGATAGGCAAGATGAAGTATAGAATTCACTGTCTCGAGTTGAACCCACAACAACCCTATCACTACAAATGTTGATTTATAACCTTGACTTTACACCGCTCTCTTAATTAAGCATTACATACGAAATTAGAACTGAAATCATCATTTCAATTCATAAATTGAAAATCATCTATAAATCAAACCCACTTCAAAACAACAATAATATCAATAATCCTTGACACCCATAAGATAAACTAGACAATGAGTCACATAGTCACACCCCCAAGAACATGTGTTTTAGCTACACATCATATAAAGTAAGAAATTAAAACCTATTACATTCTCCATAGTTGGGTATGAATCTCCAAGTCCTTACAATGATTCGATGTAGCTTTGATTCCAAAACCCAATTCAAAAGCTACTTAAAAAATGCTTTAAACTGTCACGCCCCAACACTACACCCTTGGTGGGATAGGCACTCGAGAACTATTGCTGGCACTAAGAGAACCCTCGACCTGCCATACTACTTAGTGGAAGAATTTACTCAACAAAGATAAATTTATGTACTAAACTAGAATGTTATAAAAGAAAACATTCAACAGGCCAATAAGGCAACTCAAGTTTTATAATAAAAACAACTATGAGGTATGTCAGGACAAGACCCCCGATCATCCTAACAACCAAAAATACTGAAATAATGTAAAAGAAAGGAGGATTACCAAATGACTCTGAATGCTCTACTGGATCAACGAGGAGCTGGATGTTGATTTTGGTTACCTATACCTGCATCATAAAACAATGCAGGCCAAATGGCATCAGTACATTGGATGTATGAGAATGCAAGGAGAAAACTAAGCTTGACATAAGCTTGAACTGAATTCTGAAAGAAACACTTACCTCAGCTTTACTCAACTTATGGATACTCAACTCAATGCAGAAATAAACAACAATAAAGATGCAGTTTATATAAAACATTTAAAACAGTAGATATCAACTCAATGTATTGAAAAATATGATAACAACTCAATTTATATATAATAGAGTATAATATAACTTTGTGGGAGTTTCTCTAACCGAGAACCATCACTATGAGCTATGTGATGAAACATCGTCTCACCCACACTGCCAGAACTATCCTATAACTTGCCGGAATATAGAACGCCACAACTAAGTGGATCCACTAGTCTATGTTAAAAAGCATAGTGAATCATCTAAAAAGTATGACCCGTTCTACCCACGATGGCTACATGGTTTATGGAGACTGGAGTTATTATAAACTCGTCCCCATATCGGTGTTCAATACTACTCCCAAAATTACTTAGCTCATATGTTTCAAACATAAATCTTTCTCTGTGATTTGAGGTTATTACTTAAAACTCTTATCTCTTAAAATATATGGAACTCAAAACTACTCATCAAAACACTTTTGGAAATCGGTGTTTCCTCTCATCTTAAATGTGAAAACATTTACTCTTTGGGAATACATAGTCCCCTTGTTGCATTTTAAAGAAAATGAACTCGGCTCTACTCTTTCTCAATCTCAATGCTTGATTCTTAAAACATGTTTAGAAGATTTGTAACAGACTTCTTAAAATGACCCGAAGAACTCTCAAGACTTGACTCTCAATTCTACCTTGAATTTGATTTATGAATTCAAGGTTGTGATTTGTGAAAGGAAAGATATCATGATGATTAGGAGTGATTTTAGATAGTTAAACATGAGAAATGATCAACAAATCACTGTCTAGGAGCAAGTCCGTTGTGACGCCCCGAGGCTACCCCCTTGACGTAAACACGGGACTTAGGATCACGAGTGACCCTTACTAACCCTGAGTAGGCATATCATAAGCATACTAAGACAAACTGAAAATAAGAAATACTGTGCGGAAGCTTAAACATGAGATAAATTGAAATGAGGGGGACTACCCAATCTAAGTCTAAATATATAAATACTTCGAATAGTTTAAGATACTGAAATAAAACTCAAATACTAAAGCTGAATCTGTCTATATTTGAAATAAGCCTCTAACTGACTAGAGATGTTGGGACATGCCCCAAGCTAACTTAAGTAAAACTGAAACTAGAATGAAAGACTGAAATATAAAGAATAATGTCTACCGTCCTCGAAGAATGAGGACTCACCACTAATACTGCTAAACTGGAGATGGGGAATCGATCTATGCGTGATCTGAATGTGGAGGACCTGAACCTACATCACGAGAAGTTGTAGCGCAGAGTATGCATCAGTACTTGAAAGGTACTGAGCATGCAGGATAGAATAAAGCTGAACAAACATGTAACTAAACAAAGAATACTGAGAATTGGTATAATCTGAACATGATAAAGATACTGAGATATACTGAATATAACTAAACTGAATGCAATGACCAAGTACATAACATGCTGAAACTGAATACTGAAAATGTCACTAGTAACCCGGTCAATACACAAATCTAATTGTGGGAGCTACTATTTACCGACATAAAACCGAATGAGCTAAATATGGGGTCCGATGTATACGCCCCCTCGAGAGGACCCAATATACCTTTCCAAGGGTATATAGGCATGACTGGCGTGATCACTAAGTATAATGCCCACAAATGGGACTTAACCTATGGGGGCACGTAGTTTTGGGACTACGAGCGTGACTGACCCTACACAATTTGTAAACTCATGCATGTATATCTGTATAAAC